TCGCTCATAAAAAATTCAAAGGTTGAAAAATTCTTTGAATACAAATTGCCCGGTAGTGTTGTATATGTATACAAGAACTTTGTCCCAACGCGGCCGTTAACTTTTTTTTTTTTTTTTAGTCTCTCCTCCACCGTCCGTATCTTTGGCCTTTGCAGTTGTTTAATCTACTTGACGACGTTGTCAACGCTTCTCACGTCTCGGCGTAAAAAAAAATGAGAATAAAAAAAAAAAAACAAATAAGAAATAAATAAAATTGACTCTATTCAATTTCTTCGGCGCGTTTATACTTCCATTGCGTGTAGGTACACATCACAGTCATCACATATAGTTGTTATATTTTAACGTTCCGCGAGAAATTATTATTGGAATATTCCGTGGTTCCGTGGTAAAAATATTGTTTGCTCGCAACTTATACAGGGTGTCTCAACGCACGCTTGTGTATCGGTTTACCCGCAATAAACAACACGTTTTCAATGTGATATTTTCTGAAATCTGATTTTTTTTTTTTCCAAAAAATTCTACTCTCCAAAACGGCCCGCGTAATACGTTATGTTTGTCAACGGTTCTCGGCGTACACATTCGTATACTCGAAATTTTAAAACAATTGTACACGAGCATTTTTCAAACATTTAGAAGGGAACCCGCGTTACATAGCTCCGGTTTTCACGGTCGCGGTGAAACTTCTCCAACGTTTTAAACCATAACAGTTCACAGGCTCAATAGGTGTTTTAGCTTTATTGAAACAAATCGGTGCCGTACGATAATTAGCTATCTTAAACCGCGGACAGTTTCCCTGAATTGAATTTGAATTATTGTCGTTCGGTACGCGCGGCCCTTAGACAAGAAAATAATGTAATAAAAAAAAATGACCGATTAACCAAAAAATTCGTGTTTTTCCGGCGATAAAACGCCGCGTGATTTCGCGCTCGGAAACAAGAAAAATTAATTGTCTGCGCGTTACTATTATCGTCGCTATCATCATTTTTTGTTGTTTTTTTTTTTCTGTTTTCAGCTAACGATTGGACGCCGGATTCGTTGTACTAGATTTCCGCGTATAACATTACAATATTATATCGAACGACTGCGGTTAACTCGACCCGTGTTCACGAGGACAACGACGACTGCTGCTGCCACGACCACCATCATCGTCGCGACCGCGGTTCGAGCAATAATAACATTAATAATAATAAAAAAAAAAAAATAAAAAAAATAAAAATAAAAAAAAACGTTTTGTAGCGCAACGGGCCTTGTTTAAAACTAATACGATATTATTATATTATTATTATTATTATTACCGAGCACACACATTTCGTTGGTTTACGCATTTTAGATTTTTCAATTTTTGATAATATTATTGTAAATATTTATATATTTATATTATAAAACATTGAAATTATACAATTCAATCGTTATAAACCACGGTTTAATACAACATACAGGTACCGGTCAGACGACGAGCATTGATAAGGCTATGAGCGGGGGGGGCTCGGGACTTTATATGCATTTAAAATCCGTAGAAAAGCGTTTAAAATCGTCTAAAGAGTCCCGAAGAAAATATTTTTAAAAGGAAAAAATAACAGAGGTCTCAGAGGGGCTTATAATTCCGTCCGCCCGACCCTCCTGCCCCTCACAAAACGGCTCTAACCGTTAAATGCAATTTTCCAACACTACAAAAACGATGAACACAAAATATTTTTATTTTTTTTTTTCTTGTAATACATGCAATTTTAATTTAAAATCACGCGTCGATCATTGATGTAGTATTCAAAAATTATGTTTTATAAATTAGAGCCATCTAGTTGAGGGACCAGTCCAGGAAAATTTTTAGAGACGTTCAACCATATTTTGTTTTTTTTTTTTTGCACATTTTCGGGACTTTTTTTACGTTTTTAGTTGTTTTTTTTTTTTTTGTGGATTTTAAGTGCATAAAGTTCCGAGCCCTGGTTATAACATATTTCCCAATATTACATTGCCCACAATACTTATAAAAATTAATTATAATAATTGCGATTCCGTATAATGAAAATAACAGTTAAAAATACGACTGCTGGGAACCGGTGGCAATTTTTGTGCGCACTGCGAACAATTAAAGTTCACTCGCCTGGATTTCAATCATAGGCAATCTGCAATGTTCCGCAAATGTAAGGAAAACAATTTTTTATATATATATACATTTTAATCAATACTCGATTAAACATTTCGTTAGCACGGAAGGTATTTACTTTTTGGGGATTTTTTTTTTAACAACTTATAAAACAATAATATCTCTTTAACTCTGCAACATTACCGTTTTTTTTTTTTGTTATCCTTATTTTTGGCGGTGAAACTCACTGCCTACTTTTGATTTTTAAACAGAAAACTACATTAAAAAATACCATAAACAGATGACGTGTTCTTTAAAATAAATTTCAGTGGTGATATTTTGAATTTCCGCCCTGTAAATGCCGAACTCGGTGCCCTACGAGTACGATGGTAAATGTATTTTTTGCACTGCGTTAAGTCTGAAAAAAATTGCCTACCGCCGGGAAGAAACTGCAGTACTACTGTTCGTCTAACCCGGATTACCTTATTAAACCGTGGTTAAAAACGCATATTCAAAATTTAAAAAAAAAAAAACACGCATATTTTCCCAGTTCGTCTCGTTCGAAATATTTAAAATATTATTACCTATTAAATATATAAAAGCTCAAAAGCGAATTGTAAAATAATATAATAATACCATGCGAACGTAAAATAGCAAACGGACTCGCGTCTACGGCTACTATAATTATTTTTTGTTGTATATAACCTAATACGAACTGCATTAGTTTCCGCGGTAAATATCTCTGTATAATCAACACTGATAATATTGTACTATTATTATTAATTACTATTATATTTAGGATTATATAAATATATATAAAAACGCATTGACGGATTGTTATTGTTATTTTTTACCCTGGAAATTGGTGGTTCACGCGTGCCTAATCAACGGTGCACAAATTAAATGGGGATTAGAAGGTCGAACCTCCCGTCCGCCCACCGAAATTTCTTCCTTGACTGCATTTCTAGATTCTGAGTGGAGCGAAGAAGCTCATGGTTTTACAAAGATGTTATTAATTTTTTTTTTTTTTTTTATCCGTGGACAACTTTTCTACCAGAAATCTTACTCCGGTTTTCAAGTGTAGCATTTTTTCTTGAAAGAAAATCGGTGCGGGTTGGTACTTTATTTAAGAATGTCATTTTTGATTTTCCTGGGGGTTTTCTCGATAAACGATAAAAAATCGGTACAATATTAAATAAATATTATGAAAAAAAAAAAAAATATATAATGCTTATACTATTATTTTACCATAATATGACATATATTGCTGACAAAGGTGCAGCATTATCAACCGAACTCCGCTCAGAATCATTTTTTCGTTAGCAATGGTTTATCGTCGATTACAGGTATACATCAAGTTCCCTCCTGTATCCTACCTTCCCAACTTACCGTGTCGACGGCAACGGCGTGCGGTCGGCGATACCCGCGCGTCTAATGTTATCGTGCGCGCGAAACGACCGCGGGGCCGATTGTACGACACGACAGCGACCGCCCGTCGGGCTGAGTGGGGCACGGGGGGAGGGCACGTCGCTCTTCCACCTGGAAAACAATAGAGGAAAGAAAGAGAAAAATAAAAAATGCCCGTATTGCTTTGAATCCGTACGAATAAAACACGCGAAACGGGCATTGCGATTCTTATAAAACGGTATTTGTTGATTGCTATAAGTATATACGTATATTTGTAAAATGTGAGTATTTAAATATAATCAATCTCACTGTCCAGGTACTCGAATGCATAATGCGTTCTATAAACAATAGAATATTGTAATTTCTCGATTTCAGCACTTATCTGTTGTTGTTTTTTTTTTTTTTCAAAGCTAATAATGTTTACGCGATTGCGTACCCTTTCTGCCTCAGTCCTTTTCAAGAAATACACCAATCTAGTATCTATACGGTATAATATAAAGTTTGGAAATCCAGTTTTTATTTCGTTCCCCGTCTGAAAATAACCCTATGGGCGCCCGTTCGATCGATAAGGCCCCCACAGACTTTGTACCGGCGACATAACCAGAACTTCCGGGGCCGTGGCAAAATATTGTATGAAGGCCGATAAGAAAGAAAAAAAAAAAGGGGGTGATTCGAAAAGGCCTTCACTTGTCAAAAATTATAACGGTCCCGTGACGCATCGCCGGTCATGATGTCACCCTATCGTCGACTGCTATTGATAAAAATTGTACAAAATATTGAATTTTCCACGACCTGAAATCACCACAAAAACGTCTTTTAATAAACTGTTTGCTCTCGGACCGTTCGCCAAAACTCGTTTGTTGTTTGTCCATTTCCGACGTCTCCAAGTAACCCTGGTAATAACTGATACCTATTACGCCGAACTGTCTTTTAAATTTTAAGCGGGGCGAGGAATGGTTTTTGACTTTACAATATGTTTACTTTTTTATTTTTTATCTGTGAACAACTTTTGTACCAGAAATTTTGATCCGATTTTCAATTAAAGCAATTTTTCTGAAATAAATTCTACTGGATACTTCAATTTTAGGGGGGGGGGAAATTAGGAAAATATTGTAGAAAAAACGGGAGAACAGTTACAATATAAAACAAATATTATCAAAGAAAACTTCGAATTTCGATAACCGCAAAACCTTGGATTCAAGACTTTTACTTTCCAGGTTTCAGGTTTGTGCTTACCAGATTTGTGTTTTCAAGAATTGTAAGTTCAACGTACATTACAGATTTTTACATGTACCCCCTGCAATAATAACCAACTTTTTTATTTCGCGAAATGGAACCGAGATTTTTTTTCCACTTCGCGTAATCACACAATACGGATAACATTCCGCGAAATGGATACCCAAACTTTACGCGACGGAACTCGTTCCGTCATTCGGATGTACGCAACGCGAAATAATAAACTGTTGTCGTTATATACGTATTTATTGTATACCGAGGGTTTTTGATTGGTATGACAATATTCTTATCGGTTGATCATAAACGACGATCACAGAATTGTTTTATGTTAGTTTTATCTATTGTACAAACATTATTATCGGCCGGTGACCATCGTCATTTCGTTCCGAAGGTGAACAGAGGCCCTATAGATCCAGCGAACGTCATTGCAATAGCGATGAAACATAAAAATGGTCTCAACCGTTTAGGAACTGAACATGGCATTGTAAAGGGTCGGTATGGTTCAGGGAATAACATTCAACCGGCCACGTCCGGGTTCATTAGTATCGACCGAGTAAAGACAAAAGAAATGTCAATCAGAAAAACTGTATTATCTTTAAACGTCTTTTAACAGGAGGCCGTGGCTTTTTTCAGCTGTTACTGTATAAGTGAATGTACAACGAAAAAACGTGTTTGTTTTAGAGGTAATTTAAAATGTACTTCTCGTCGTCGTACTACTGAAACGTGTTCGAATAAATAATTTCATGTTACGGACATCCGAATGGGCGGAACGGGTGTAGAGTTTAGGTATCCATTTCGCGAAGTGTTATCCATATGGTGTAATTACGCGAAGCGGAGAACCTCCGTTCCGTCTTGTGAAATGGACAATAACGATAGCGCTATACGTATGCGACATATACACGTATTTTTTTCTAGGAATTTAAATATGTTCGTATTATAAATTTATCAAACAAAAATAAATAAAAAAATACGATTATGAATTATTCGTTTATTATGTACAAAGGCCGTCAGTACAGTTATCGAAAAACCGCTTTGATAGTAAATAATTAGATTAGTTCGGAAGTATAATATTTTATTTTTTTAACAATAAATATGTATACTCTACCTGATCCGACTGAAAATAATATAATATTCTTTGCTTTTAAATGTATTATTTATACGTAAAATAACCAACTTAACATATTTTTATTACCGCGGCGCAAGATTATAAAACATTTTAAACTTTCGACGAGTCTTATATACTTTTATTAATGGAAAAAGTATAAAAATATATAATATACTTGCCGACTTTCAGGGTTCATATTCCCCTCTACCCCCTCCCCCGGTTTGTCCTTAAAAATATTTTTTCGGTTAAAAAATATTGTTCGACGATACCATATAATATTATGTATATAGGTATACTATACGCATCACGTCGGTGCGTTCATTATATACCTAAATAAAAAGCCACTTTGAACGAGTTTTGATCGAACAGAATATCGTTTTTAATCTGTTTAATTTCACCCCTCGTCCCTACTATTCAAAAACGATACATACCGTGTTATTAAAATACGAAATTCACTGCATTATAATATTATAGTGAAAATTATGTAGGCAAAAACAACCGCCTGCAGTCATCATCGCCGTTTTTGTAAAATTAATAACTCTTCGTTCCGCTCAAAATCCGATCCAAAATTGAAATATCATAAAAGTCCGTACAATTATATTCAAAATGTAAACACATAATGACACGAGCCCTTAATATCGTACAATCGATATGCGTTTTTAGCTTTTACAAAACGTTTAATCGCCAATCGGAATACAAAATGTCGAAATTGTTTGCAGAAAAAAAATAATAAACGATTTACCGACATACATCAAAGTTGCAAACTATTTTAACATGCTATTATTATTATTATTTTTTTTTTTTTTGATCAAAGTATATTCGCGTGCACCATAGTAAAATTATAATAATATAAGTATTTTCATTATTTTATTGTAGAAAAATAAATTCGGCGAGAATATATAAATCACTAGATAATCGTATATAAATTCGCTATTGTGGTTGGATGGCACGAAATAAATAAATCAATCTACAGCGGCGGTTTTACATTACAAAGAGAAACGAAAGTAGTGCCCAGTCCCCTCAAAAAAACCTTAATTGCAAACGTCCAAAAAACGCTGTAGATAATAAAAATAAAAACTAAACTACTGACGCCGCGCAAAAACCGATTGATAAAAAAACATAATGTTAAATTGCTCATCAGAGTGTAAAATATGCCTAACCTAAGGACGTTTTAATTTTTCGAAATCAGGCTCGAATGCTCAATTAATCTATTGGTCGTCATTTCGATAAATCAGTAATTGACTTTCCCCGAACAAATACAAAAACACGGATATTTGTATAACTCTTGATGTCGTTACACTACGCGGGTGATCTGGAATATTAAATAATAGACTACTACGCTGTCATTATTAGACATACATCCACATCTCCCGGTGGTGATGATAAACAGACCGAAAAGTCGATATCCGGGTGCACCGAACTCCGAATTACAATTTGTCATCGGCGATTGAAACGAACGGACAATACAACGGCTCATCACTTACCGGTATTGTAAATATTATAATTTGTCTGGTTTTTCAGTTCGTTCTCCTTTGTTCGTCTCCGCTGTAACTTGCCAGTGGCGTGGCACGCCTCGTGAGTAAATCGAAATGTCTGAAATTTAACAACTGTAATGTTCACAAAGATTTAGGCCAAAGCAATTAGATACGATCAGTAAACCGTGTATAATAGAATAACTATTTATAAACTGGACAATCGTTCAACATAATTACCATATAGATAACGCGCGTTGCGTGTTTGATAAGTTTAATAACAATTTCGGTTATTTCGATGTAACAAATCCAAAGTGTTCGCAATAAGATTCGATTAAATGTTGATTGTCGGTAATTAAAATAAGACGGTGTCGATAAAAATTAATCAAACTCGAACACGAGTCACGGCGCGAGCGGTCGCGTGTTTTTCGCAGTTACTGAGATCATTAATTTCTGATTGCGCCGCAAGTTTATTGTGTGTATTGGAGCTGAACGAGTTAGATTTTGAATACATCGGTTCACTATGGGAATGGTTGAAAAAAAAAATATGATCGCAATTAAAATAATTCAATATATACGTGCGAAGTTTACGTGTACATACATATACATATATATATAGATTTTTTTTTTTTTTTTTTAATACTCCAGGTTATCTCGGTTACGCGCAGCGTAATGGGGAAATGGGGAAGTTCCTCAATTACAAAGTTAAACGGTTGCAATAAATAAATTACAACGTTTAAAGGGAGATCGTTTGGGAGTTTGGGCAACTTGAGAATTGTTCACCATCTAACTTACTCCTCGTCTCAGGTCAGAATTTTAGTTTATCTCCGGCTTTTGGATCAGCAGAGAACAAAATGCCAAAATATTATGGAAAAATGTTTCGTAACATAAAAATAATAGTGAAATTTAATGTATATTTTTTAGGTAGCTAGTAAGATATTTAATGCTGTAGAATTGTATTGTAATATGCAATTGAACATTTTTACAATAAAAATACATCACTGAACAAAATATTTATTATCAAAGAAAATAATTTAAACATGTATCTACGTATAATATAATACAATACGAAATGTCATAGTATTTTACATTTTCGATTCAGAGCGTAGTGAGGGATCTATTGGTTTTATTATGGTGTGTGTTTTATTTTTAAGAATTTTATTATCGAATTTCGACGAAAATCGTAAATATCACGGCCTTGTGAACACGTATAACCGAACTCCGCTCAGAATCGTTTTTCGTAAGCAGAGATCAATCGTTTAGTACAGATATTTTATATTTAAAATTCCCCACTATATTCTACCTTCCAAACTTCTCACCTACAACGGAAGCCCGACAACCGCACGTCCGTCTTTTCTATCGATAAAATACAACGGGATGACCGCAGGAAAACGCCGTAGGACAAATAATAATATCATTAGGAATAGCATAAAAAATATAATATACACTGGCATGCTGCAACACTTGGCATGGCGCTCGATTTCAAAATAATATGATTACACCTATCTGGCTTTTCGGTATCCATGACAATATATCACAAATCATACGCTTGCTAATGTACGGTTGGAATAATAATATATAATATGACGACGATACCGTGCAAAACGGTAATGAAGAACGTAAGCGCATGAGATAAACAATTATTATTGTTGTATTAATTTTTTTTTTTTTTTTTGGTAACTTTATCATTGCATATTTTATGGGGGGAAAATTATACAATCGTAATTGTAATTTTATTCGCCCTCCGAAATAACAGAAATACATATTTCAACATATATATATATATATTTTTTTTATAATATAACTTCCGTCCCCTGTCTGATCTGTGTTTGCGTGTGTATGTGAATCGATTAGATTCAAAAAGAAAAAAATACATAACCTCAAATAGTTTGACGGTATATATTATTTTTGTATTTTTCTCGCATTGGTAGGTATTAGGAAAGTTTTCAATGACTTACTCTCTTTTCACAGTGAACAACTGGGTACCTACTATCATTTTTAGGAAACGATGTAGTGAAACATCTAAGTGCCTATGTTTTGTTTTCAAGAATTTTCTTCTTCAAAGTTGGTATACGAATAATCACGTAGATAGACGGCAAACGCCATGTACAATTGGTGCACAAATATCAAAAATGTAAACTACGAAAAATAAAATATTGTGATATTGTAGCTATTCATGATAAAATTCGTGTTAATCGCATGGTGTATTTTTTTAAATCACATAATTATGTATAAACCAGAGTGTATTTACATATTGATGTAGGGTATTCATTCTTTTGAAATAAGTAACTCCAATAACGTAGCCTTGAGACGAAGGTGCACACTAATTATAATTATATAGAATATAATTATTCCGCGAAAACGTTCGGGCACTACAATGATTTTTAACCAAAATTTAACAAAAAAATAAAATCCGAAATAACGAAACCGTTAATGCCGTAAACTTTCCCGTTTCGCCCAATTATTAGAAAAACTAGCTAGAAAGTCAATTGACTACCATCTTATGCATCAATACTACACGGATTTTTTTCGGAAAACATTACCAACATTTTTGATAAAAAACAAAACCGAACAAATTTAAAAAAAAATACATAATAAATACAATATGTAATTGTTCAATTATTTACTGATTGTGTTACTTGTTGTAACTGTAATAATTATTTTACCATAATATTATGATAACATTTATATATTGTTGACGAAGCACTACCGTTAACCGAACTCTGCGCAGAACCGTTGTTCGTTAGCAACGGATGATCTTAGCGTGCTGCAAACATATTACGTATATTAAATTTCCCCTCTACCTTCCCGACTTTTCACGTACAACAGTGATCATGGTGCGAAGTGTGTCCGTATCTTTTTTCCGTTTTTAATAGTCTCTATTGATAATATCGATTATTGAAACCTACTCGTTTGTTACGATCAGGTGCCCAACCCTCATTTGAATTGAACGCGATGTTTCGAAAAAAAAATACGAAACCGAACGTGGATGCGTTCGATTTTTTCGACGAACGTTCCAAACACTGACGTTGA